TATATTGAAATACCCAGCACTTCATGGACTTAATTTTTATTAATATAGTATCCCTGAGAGGCAGATTAAGTGTAAACATTAGTCTGCTTTGCAGAAAAGAAAACAGGCAGGTTGACTTACGTACAAGACACTTGAAACCTGAATTTGTATCTGTTGATACTTAACCAGTACTTTTCCCACAAGACTAGACACAGACATATTAAAGATAGTAATTTCACTCTTCTAACTTTAATTTTCTGGACAACACACTTCCTAAACCATCTCACTTCCTCAGGCCTTTCTTTAGATAGGTGTTTCTTAAGAGTTTTCCTTAATTGCTAACAAATTTTAAGTGGTTCCTTATATTACTAGGACTTTACACAAGAATTCAGATTATAAGGGGCTGGCAAGATAGCGGACTAAGCATCTGCTTAGGCAAGCACAGGGACTAGGGCTTGATTCCCAGCACCACATACTGCACTGGCCTCCCTGCTGCCAGTCCCACCCTCAGGCACACCAAGCTGGGCCACCAAGTACTGAGCATTCATGGGGTGTGTAACACTATACAGGAGTTTGAAGTATGGTGAAAATGAATGATTCCCTACCCAACAGCTTAAAGTTCTTTCCTTAACACCGTATCCAGCTGACTTGTTTTGTGGTCTGCTAGGCCACAAAGGACAGATGGAATTCAGGACAAAAAAAAATTAAACTAGATGTTATAAATGTATTATTCTATTCCAGCCTTTCTAGGACTTGGGTGCTTATTAAGGGCAGAGCTTTTACTAAAGTGCTTGCCACCAGTATTTGTACAGTGTTACATTGTTTCCCCATTGAGTACACCTGGTTCTAAACAAATGATTCATAGGACAGAACCAAGGTGGACATTAAACTCTTGTTTCTTTGGTTTTTGTCTTTTTCAGACAGGGTGTGGCTATGCAGTTCAAGTTGGCCTTGAACTCACTTTGTTGCCCAGATTTTGAACTTGCTATGATCCCCCTGCCACAGCCTCTCAAGTGCTAGGATTACAGGGGTGAGCCCCATGCCCAGCTAAAACTCTGTTCCTTTATGGTAAATGAAAACTATAGCATATAAGCAAGAAAGGTCATTCTTTTCAACATTTCCATTACTGTACTGAAGAAGAATGAGACCTACTTAAGGAGCCAAGTCTCAGCTTCTCCTTGAAATGCTGCAATGGATGTTTCCAATTGGAATACAACTGACAGGATATACTACGTTTTCTTTCTAGAAAGAGAACAATATAGACACTGAGAAGGAAAAGATGTTATCCATCAGTGCAGATGCAGAAAAGAGAGGAACTAAAAAT